GGCAATACTTGTCCAATGGAGCTCAAATTTGGATATGTTGTAGTTAACATCCATTGGAACAAGTCTCATGAAGATCATGACCTCATCCGAGCACCAGAGCATGTTGATCCCAGGCCAAGAAGTTGACCTACGAAAATGAACAAAAACAGAATTTATAACTAATAATGCACTTTTAGCTCATTTTCATCCCAACCAAGGTAAAATCTAAGAAAACACAAAAAGGAAGTAAAAAGCTATAAAATGTCAAGAACTAACTCAAAATAGTGGGTGAATAACATGAAAAATCATGTGTAAAAATGAACCGAACAGTAGCATTATGCACATTGCAACACAACCACAAAACCATATAATATAATATAATTATTTATGATAATCACTAATCACCCTCCCTCCTTGTGATCTTTCAAACTTACCACACCCATATGTTTCAGCCTATCTACCTAGCTGCCTCACTCTCTTATTATTTCCCATTGCCTTTAGAAAATCTCTCTCTCTCTCTCTCTGTCTCTCTCTGTGAATGAAGCACCAAGCCATTGAGCTTCCCTTTGGGAAAACATGCCAAGCACCACTAAAGGCACCAAAAAAAGGGGAGAAATCAAATGCAGTCCTTGATAGCCTCCTTTCTAGGGTACGTATTATTTAATGTCACGATAATATTAACCAACAAAAATCTTGCATGTTATGATGACTTGTTTTTATTTGGACCCTCTACTTATAATTTTGTTTTTATTTTTATTTTATAAAGAAAAAAGCGATAGTAATTATTATGAAACAAAATAAATTTGTATGACAATGCTAACTTATAACACAAGATCATTACATAAATATAAATTTATTTTGTTGTATGATCTAATGATTGCGTAAACCTAATTATTATTAGTTGTGATAAAAGCTTTTTGTGGCCCCTGCCATGAACACGCATGGATGGTAATTAATTATTGACTTGAAAATCTGGAAACTAAAAGTGAAAATTTTAAAATTGTGGATTGGATCTCATCGGAACATATCATTTCCCGTTTAGTAAACTAGTTTTGTCCTAATTAATAGGCATGAGATTCAGATCTTCACAAGATTAGTTGACCTAAGCCTTTATAATTGAAGGATAAAGGGGATTATACTTTCTGCAGGCCATTGGTTCTTCCGTTCGATGGTTTACTATGAAAATCAGAAGATTTCAAGGTGCCACTACTGCCTCCTAGACAATGTGCCTAATGTAGGCATATGTTCTATGGATACAGATGGTGGCGAATCCACATTGGGTCAAAGGGGTCAACCTGCAAACCAGAAACCATGGCTTTTGGAGAAGAAATGTGATCCCTGCAATGGCTGGATGGTTGGCCAAAGAAACAGAGGGAGAGAGGAAGAAAAATAAGAAGGAAAATCTTCTTTTCTATCCCTATCTCTATGTATATGCCATTGCACCTTTTGGTCATAGTAGGTATTTTCTGACCATCCTTGACAAAATTCCTGACTTTGCCAATAAAAAGAGAGAGAGAGAGAGAGAGATTTGATAACTGGTGTCTTTTGTCCTTCAACCACACTTTATTCTCAAGTTATCTTTCTCATTAGTTTGTAATTTAGTACAGACATATATTGTTCAGTTCAAAGTTATAGATTGTAATCTTTGTAACTTGGAAAGCACCAAATGACTGTCATTTTCCAAAGTACTATGATAGCAACCAAGCAACTGCTTGGAAATGGTGGCAATTACTCAATCTTTAAAGTCATCTCTTTCGGTCATTGAAGACTGAGAGTTACCACCTTTTTCTTTCTTTTCTTTTTTCTCTTTTCTATTGGCATTAGTTCTGCTTTATTATTCCAGACATTTAGACAAACTGCATTAATTCATTCCACTATCAAAGCAAAGATGGACAGTGTTAACAGTGAAGGGCATGAACATGATGCCTCGCCAACTAGTCGCTTTGAAAAAATATGACTGTTAGTTTTGCTAAATTATCCAAAGCCATAAGCTTCAACTAATCACATTATTATTGGACCCATATATATGTATATATGTATATTGCTTGAATCTATCTTGCTTCACAGTTCTCTTCTCCACCATGAAATTTCATGCCATTGATCTCCCTAATGGAAAATACACACAACCCAACAACCCCCACAAAAATCTTTTTCTACTTGCCCTTACTTTAGTTTTGCTGATTACAATCCCTCTCTGTCTAAACAACATCTCAAATTCCCCATTGCCGTCTCCTAAGAGCAATGCCGGCAGTTCGAAAAGCATGGAAAAAGAAGATCAATGCCAGATATTTAGTGGGAACTGGGTTCCATATCCTGATGGACCTGCATATTACACAAATGAAACTTGCAATCTGATCATTGATCAGCAAAACTGCATGAAGTTTGGGAGACCTGATACGGAGTTCATGAAATGGAGGTGGAAGCCTGATGCTTGTGAGTTGCCCTTGTTTGATGCAGCTCAGTTCTTGGAGCTTGTTAGAGGCAAGTCATTGGCTTTCCTTGGTGACTCCGTGGGAAGAAATCAAATGCAGTCATTGCTTTGCCTATTAGCCACTGTAAGCGTTCAAACTAGCCTACAAAGATTTGAAACAATTCAAGATTTACAAGATTGTGTGTTTTTTATTTTTCTTTCAGGTGACTTATCCTGAGGACATTTCTCACAAATATTCTTCAAACACAGATTACTTCAAGCGCTATGTCTACAATGATCACAATTTCACCATAGCAAATCTCTGGTCTCCCTACTTTGTTAAATCTAGAGATGTAGATCCCAGTGGACATGACTTTAACAGCCTCATGAGCCTGTACTTAGATGAGCCGGACGAGGCATGGCTAACTCAGGTCGAACAATTCGACTATGTGATCGTCTCAGCAGGACAATGGTTCTTCCGGCCACTGATATACCATGAAAATGGTCGCGTTATCGGGTGTCACAAGTGCGGCCAAGACAACATGACGTCATTTGTCACCTCCTACGGATACGGAAAGGCCTTTCGAACGGTGTTTAGAACTCTTCGGAGCCTTAAAAACTACAAGGGGGTGACATTTCTGAGGACGTTTTCTCCATCACACTTTGAAAATGGGGCATGGAATGAGGGAGGGAACTGTGTGAGGACAAAGCCTTTTACCAAAGAAGAAACGAAGCTAGATGAGTATGTTTTGGAAATGACTCAAGTGGAGGAGCTAAAAGCAGCAGAAGAGCAAGGCCTGCAGAGAGGCGTGCAGTTTAGGTTGATGGACACAACAGAAGCTATGTTGCTGAGGCCTGATGGACACCCAAACTTCTATGGACACTCACCTCATAGGAACATGACTCTTGCCGACTGTGTTCACTGGTGCTTGCCAGGCCCCGTTGATACGTGGAATGAGATCCTGCTGTATATGTTGAAGACAGGGTACAGGCCACCTTGATGAGAAGAAGCTATGGAGAAATGCTTGATCAAGCAAACGTCATATACATTATACACACATTATAAATTTTTATTATTTGCATCATACCAAAAAAAAAGAATATATCATTGTAAATGAGTAATTTCATTATATACTCGCAGAGTTAAATTTATACTTATCTTGCTGGTGAATTTTATTGACTAAGGAAACACTCAGTAGAGCAAGTACACAATTTAAAGATTTTGTGGAAATTTCCTTTGAGTGCGGCATAACTCAGAGATCAAACTATACAATTTTATGCAAGAAAGTTTCAGTGGATAAAAGGATCGGTTGTTGGGAATCTTGGTCAAGAGGAACTAGTGTCGGTTTAACTGACGAGACTATTGTGGAGAAACTTCTCAGCCCTAGGTTTGGAAGTTTGACTTTTGGGAGACTTAAATACGTACAGTTGTCACTACTTCTCAGGGACTTGTTTGAAATTTCAGGGATGAAATTTCCTAAGGGAGGAAGGTTGTAACATCAGTCCTAAAATTGATATTTTTTTATAAAATTTATAAGGGTGGAATTACAAATTTGCCTTTGGGCATAGGAACATATTGGTCACTTTTTTGTTTGGGAATTTGAGTGGCACCGTTGCTTAGAGCTCGACGACATGAGTTCGTGGACAGGCGGTACGCTCAATTCCGAGTTAAAACAAGAGAGTTGTAGTCTAAAAACGAAAAGGACACAAAAGATAATTTTGTAAAATTATTTATCTATATATCTATATATATAAAATAAAAAGTAGAGAATTGAAATTATTAATTAAATAAAAATAATGTGATAAATTCATATTTTTTATACTAAGTTTTTTAAATTAAAAATAAAATTAGATAATAAATCTTTTTTTTTTTTTTTTTTTTTTTTTTTTTTTTTTTTTTTTTTTTTTTTTTTTTTTTTTGAGTTCTATCAATATACAAACCTACTAATTGGGCCAGGGGGGAACCTCAGCCCTTTGGGCTGGAGGCCAACCACCTTACCATCACGGTAAAGACCCATTGGCAATAAATCCTATTTATTTCATAAACACAACTATTCATTATCTTTTTTAATTTTAAAATAAAATATTAAAAAAAGAAAAAAACTAATTGGCACAAGGGGCTAGTTACATCTAGCTCTCTCCTCAGACGCAACTCTCTCTCTCATCTCTCTCTCTCTCTACCCGCGCTGTCTCACTTTCAGACTGGCGATTCATCGCCGTCCGGTCACGGGGACCGGCGCCATCACCCCAACCTCTTCCTCTCTTCCTCCTCTACCTAACGCACCCATTGATCGACGTCAACAACTCGATATCGTGCCCGATTTTTGACTGGAAAACTGCCCAGCCACTGTCACCATCGCCGGCGCCGATTCAGGTCACCTCAGGCCGCGCCACCACTTGGAAAAGGTAGCCCTATCCTCCATATATCTTCCCCCTATCTTAATCGACGCAGTTGACGGCTATAGCCGCCGGCCTGAGCTCGGGAAGCTCCGGCCAAAACCCTCACGGTTTGGCCTTGATTAAGCCCACTCCGGCCACTTTTTGGCCGGGGTCCAAGAACCAAAAACACTCCTCTCATTGTGCTTGACATGTTGGTATAAAGTTTGCCCGTCGATTCGAAGACACCCACGCGCTGTGATTCTAGAAAGCAATCCAATTTTAGAAATCCAAAGAAAAATGTTTATAAGATTGCTGTGATTCTTATAGTGTAGTTTTGATTATGCAGGAAAATTTGTCAATTGTTAGGAGGGTTTGAGTGAATTGGTGAAAATGGGAAGCAAAGGTCGAATTCCACCTGCTCATCTTCGTCGACCACTTCCCGGACCCGACCCGTTTGGTCCGGGCATACGCCCGCCCCATGGTGCCTATCCTCCATTTGATATGTTGCCTCCTCCACAAGTTATGGAGCAGAAGTTGGCTGCACAACATGTCGAGATGGAAAGGCTCGTAACTGAGAACCAGAGACTTGCTGCCACCCATGGAACCTTGAGACAAGAACTGGCAGGTGCTCAACATGAGTTGCAGATATTGCATGCCCAGATAGGTGCTATCAAGTCCGAGAGAGAACAGCAGATGAGGGGCCTTGTGGATAAAATAGCCAAGATGGAAGCTGAGCTGAAGTCAGCGGAGCCTGTAAAGGTGGAGCTACAGCAGGCTGGAGCTGAAGCCCAAAACTTGGTTGTGTCAAGGCAAGAACTCATTGCCAAAGTGCAACAACTCAGTCAGGATCTTCAGAGGGCTCATACAGATGTGCAGCAGATTCCTGCTTTGGTATCACAGCTTGATAGCCTGAGGCAGGAATATCAGCATTGCAGGTTTGTGTTTTATGTTCTATTTTTCATATCTTCAACCTTCAACGCCTGTATGCTTTTTACCTGGGTCAGTTTGGTTTTTCACTTATGCAAAACCTATCGTCATTTTCTATTGTTTTGAACTGTGCAGGGCGACTTATGACTACGAAAAGAAATTATACAATGACCACCTTGAATCGCTTCAGGTCATGGAGAAGAACTATGTTACCATGGCTAGGGAGGTAGAAAAGCTCCGAGCAGAGTTGCTGAATAATTCTAATGTTGATAGAAGAACTGGTAAACTTAATTCGTTTTATTTGAGGTCGTTTGGATACTCTTTACCTTGATCTTTAATACATTGTGGATGGCTTCTCTTGGGCCATGAAATGTAGGCGCTCCTTATTATGGAACTCCTGGAAATAATGAAAATGAGGCTGCTGGGCACACAATAGGACAAAATGCTTATGAAGATAGCTATGGTGTTCCCCAGGTATGTCATCTTGCACATCTTGACTTTTGTTAGTTTTTATCTTATTCTTTTACTTTTCTCCTTCAAATTCCAAAATTATGGTACTATGCCAGGTTGTTTAAGTCCTTATTGTGTGAGCTGGGATTGGCTGTTTGCAATAACATAGTATGCCTTGGTGAAAGCAATGGCTTATCCATCCACACACTCTGATACAAGACTATTGCTTGAATACTAATCAAAATAGATTATCGTCATGTCAATACCACCATGCTCATCAGATTGAAGCCTTATTGAAAATACTTGAAGCTCAAATTTTCATTTTAAGAATCATGACTAAATGGAGGCTAGAAATTGTATCAGCGGTTGTCAAAAATCTTTATTTTTGCTTGCATTTTTCTCGAAAGGTGTTCCTTGCCAGACAGTGAAATCAGAGTCAGAAGGTATTTGCGGGAAAATAATGTGTAGGTGACAACCACACAATGTTTTATCACACCTTATTACTGGAACACTAAAACAACTTCAATTCAGTCACAAAAACCAAGTATTAACTTTCGGTTATGTAAGACCTGGTAGAATATAGTTGCTGATAACCTCTTAAGAATTTGTTTTGCGATCTTGCTTTTCATTTTTTTTCTTTCAATTAAACAGTAATATCTTCACTGCCTCCAGAGTGATTCAAATGAAAGTTTACGCACTTTTACTCTGTATTTTGTATAACAGGGACGTGCACCCTTCCCCCCTGCTGCTGCTGCAGGTGGTGGTGCTACAGCTGCTGGAACTCCTCCATTAGTGGGAGCTCAACCTGGACCACCTGGAAGGACTGGTTACGATGCACCAAGAGGCCCTGGTTATGATGCCTCTGGAGGATCTGGTTATGATGCACAGAGAGGACCTGGTTATGATGCACAAAGAGGGGCTCCCTATGATGCACAGAGACCTGGATATGATGTACAAAGACCAAATTATGAAGTGCAAAGAGGACCCGGTTACGATCCATCCCGGGGTGTCAACTATGATGCACAGTCTAGAGGTACTGCTGGTCCTCAAGGACATATGCCTACAAGCAATGCCCCTTATGGTTCCGCAACACCACCTGCTCGTGGTGGAAGTGGGTATGAGGCACCACCACCACGAGGAGGGGGAGGGGGCAACCCCGTTCGAAGATGAGCTAAAGCCATTACCCAAATTATCAATGAAATTGTCTAAGAAATAGTGTAGTTGTTAGGATATCCACTCCACTAAATCTCCGATCGCCTGATACGTTGTGTTTTTTTGCCTTAGTTACGTTGTGTTTTTTGCCTGAGTCGGCTACCTGAATAACATTCTTTATTTATGGTCTTCAGCTTCTTTCTTCATTCATGAATCTTGTATGTGGTTGGGGGAAAAAAAAGAGAGAGGTATTCTGTAACCAGTTGTGCTGTGGGCAACGGACGTGGTTTGTTATGGAATTCAAATGAGAAGAATATGGTTTGCGGTCGCTCCTTCCACAATCATTAGTGTTTCAGAGATTATCAAATTGGATCCCGAAGCGAGGGAGAGCATCGAGGCTACGTAGAACCATATGCACATTAAGACTCTCAAGTAAAATTTAGTATTTCTAAAATTATGAGTCGTATACTGCGCCTCCGGCTACCGGTGACCGACGACATTGTTACATTCAAATTTTTAAAATTTTTCTAGGTATCTTTTATAAAAAATAAATTTCTTTTTTGTTATGTTAATTTTTTTTAACCAAGTAAGTTGTTGGGGCAAATTAGACAAAAAGTTGGGTGTTGGGTGTCCAAATATGGCTATTGGGTGTGTATAGAGTGGTTTCGGGTAGGGCCCAGATCCGCGGCATTAATGAAGACATTCGCCCTCTCCTTCGTCTCTGGAAGATTTCAAAATTTTCGAATTTCCCGCCAAATCATTTTTTATGGCTGAGCAACACCACCCGCTTCGCCGCACCCAATCTCACGGTGAAACTCTCTCTCTCTCTCCAAAACTCTTACTAAGCTCGATTCGAAGCATATTCTGTACGATTAGGCCATTAGGGTTGCTCTGAAGTTTCCTGATCTAGCAATTTTAAATGTTTATTTAATTTTCTCTTTGTGCGTTAACAGAGTAAGATTTTAATATTTTATTTATTGCATTTGTATATACCCATCGATTTGGTTCGTGAACTCTGTGATTTTACAAAGATCCAATTGCTGAAGTGTTCGTATATTTGCAGAGGCTATGGGGTCCCCAATTCAAGGCATGGAATCGGTGATCGCAACCGTGAGTGGGTACCACGGCTCGGACCGCTTCAACCTTATCAAGCTCATCTCTCATGCCGGCGCGAGCTATGTCGGTGCGCTGTCCCGATCCACCACTCACTTGGTTGGTTTGAGAACCCATTTTTATGTATTATCTGTTCCAATTAGGCAAAGTGATTAAGTTTGTTTTCATGGGGTGATTAGGTGTGTTGGAAGTTCGAAGGAAAGAAATATGAACTGGCTGACAAGTTCAATACGATAGTTCTCAACCATCGGTGGATTGAGGATTGCATAAAGCAAGGAAAACGAGTTCCTGAGCGTCCTTATATTCTGCAATGGTATGCCTAAATTGCTTAGTTTCCCATTTCTGTACAAAATGGTGTTTTAGATTACTTATGGGTTGTTAGTATTTTCCAGTTTAAATTGCAAAAATGACTGCTTTTTTGGGAATTGAGACTCTAAATTGCCCACATCATTCGCCGGCTGTTCACTTCATTGATTTTACTTAACTTTACTTAAGATTAAAGATGCTAGCTTCAGCGAGCTAATTAGGTGCCATATTCCTTGGTTTGGGATCTAATTTTTTAGCAATAACCAATAAGTGATTTGATAGGGGATATAGATGTTAGCATAAGTGAGCTGTTACTTCCAGATTACTAGTTTAATCTTGTTGCTGCTGCTTAATTTGTGTGCTTGCAAAATAATTTTTTTGATCAGGGATTGATGCCTTTTGGGTTTCAATTCTTTGCAGTGGACAGGAAGTCGGACCCTTATTGCTAGAACCTCCACCTATTGCTAAGGTGGGTGTCTCGACTAAGAACTGGAATGTGCTTTCTGACAAATCAAGTGTTTGTGATGATTCTGAACAAATTATCGATTTGGGGTGTGGAACTTCTCGCCGTTCTTTTTTGACTGATTCATGTCTTTTAAATGAGGTAGCTTCAGTAAAAATCTATCTTCAACAACTAATTTCATCGTGCATGTTTTCTGTAGAATTCCTTCGTTGAAGCATTTCTGTATGTCTCAATTTGGCAGGCTTGTTTGGTTCAGAATGATCTGATAATAATTATTCATGTGAATTTACTGTAGGATTTGTTTCCTGAATTTAAAGAAAACAACAGTTCTCTTAAGTCAAAGCAGAAACATGTTAGAAGGAATTCAAAGCAAGAACTGCGATCATGTAGCAGACCCTGTTTTCAAGATCCTCCTTTAACTAGACCACTTAGAATGGAGGTAATAAATTCAACTAACTTTTATGCGCTCTCTTATTTATGCATCTTTTTTTTTCCTTTTTTTTTTCATTCTTCTTTTGCCTCTGGCGGTCTTCTCTTGTATATTGTTTGTGGACTTGGGTTGCGACCCTTATAAGCTTTTTTCCTTTTTTTTAATGGATAAGTGTTTATGTAATTGTCAAGCAAAAGAAGTTTATGGAATTAAGCTTCACATTTCTACGAAATGTTCTATAAGGCCTGATAGCTCTATGATAAAGTCAAAATGAATGTATGGCCTTCAATTTTCAATATCAGATAATTAAGATTAATCACTACCATTATGCAATCTTAACACCCCTTTTCCTTTTTCTTTTCTTTTTCTTTTTCTTGGTGGGAAGCTTCAAGAGTCTTCCACACATTTGGCAAGAGCTAAAAGAAATATTTCCAATGGAAATGGAAGCAGCATGGCTGAAACTTCACGAAAAGGAAGGAGACTTGCAAAACGGAATATCGGTAGATATATGAAAGAATCAGCACTCTCAGACTCTGATCAAGAGTACCACCCAATCAGATTTCAGAATATGCCTAATGATGTTGTCACAGTCCTTTCTGACGATTCAGGTGAAGAAAGAAATGGTAATATATTGGGAACTGAAGGAAAAACTGACAATGGTTTGCATATCCAAAGACGAATCAGAAATCGGGGTCTGAAAGGTGTTGTGGAGGTTGATGAGAATCACCTATCTCCTTCCAAGGATCCGAATATATATGTTGAGGATGCACCAACTTCTCTGGAGGGAACTCCCCAAGATGGATGCTTTGAAGTTGAGAACTCGAAAGAGGAATTCAAAAACAGGTTTGGGACTGAAGATGCCACCAGAATTCCTCCTTCGATGGAGTTATCATGCGTAATATGCTGGACAGAATTTAGTTCAACCAGAGGAATTTTGCCATGTGGTCATCGGTTCTGTTATTCATGCATTGAAAGCTGGGCTGGTCATATGGTAAAAAAATTATGCTCTCCTTCACTTTATAATTGTATCGTTGTTGTGCAAGCTTTTTAAATTTTCTCAGCGTTTACCTAAATTCTGAAACAAATTTTCGTACTGGTTCCAATCGTTGGGGTACACAATTCACAATTCATATTGGGTGATGGTTTACATGCAGGGTTCGAAGAGCAAGAATTCAACATGCCCTTTATGCAAGGCTAGTTTTACAAGCATTACCAAGGTTGATGATGCTGACATGATTGATCAGAAAATATACTCTCAAACCATTCCATCAGCCCCAAAAATGGACATACCAGTTCCTACTTACCGAGGAATACCCAATTTTAGTGCTCAGGTATGCAAACTCCCCTTCTTGTTATTAGACTTGGTGTTAGATCTCATATGAGTGTTGGTAAGCTTGGTGCTAGGTAAACTTCGTTTCAAACCTCTCTTGGTACATCATTTGGCAATATCTCGGTAGGGAAATCTTTTTGTGTGACATCTAACTCCAGCTTCATGACTGCTCGCTTACTTTTGTTAGGAGTTGAATGTATTAGTTGTCTTTCCAACTGAAAATCAGTAATCTGCGGTATTAGCTAAACACTCCTGTGCTGTTATATTAAGTATAGGATTGCTGATTAAAATCTTTTGCTGTTTAACCAAATACTTATGTGCTATTATATTAAGTACAGGATATTGAAGATTGTATGATTTTAAAATCTTTTGCTGTTTTGGTAGTCTCTGTGGCTAATTGTTCTTTTTCTTTTATTGTCCTCTGGGGTTAAACAGTCCCCATCAGGAACTGTTTGTGTTGCATGTAGTGGTCGGGAACCCGAAGAACTTCTGGTTGCTTGCAATCTCTGCCACAGCCGGTGCATCCATTCCTACTGCCTGGACCCTCCCTTATTTCCATGGACGTGCATTCACTGCAAGGATCTCCGATTGGTTTACCTTCTCAACCATTGATATACATCGCCGAAAAAACATCAAGAATGCCTCAATCCTTCATAGAGTAACGGAAATGCTGATATCGTGTTTGTACCAAGTATCTTCAAGGGGTTAAGAAGTCATGAGCACTGGCAATGAATGCGGTCCTTTAGCTCTACCATTCTTATAGTCCATACTCTCTTGCAGAAAGATGGTATTATCTTCTCAAGCTTGAGATGAAACCAAGGCATTTTGATCAACAAATGTTTCTAAATATATCTTAGATCTGATTGTCCAGATTGTGTTTTAATGCAGACAAATTCTTAATACATTTGAAACTGTTGTTGATTTCACATATAAATATAATTTCATTTGAGGAAGGTTGGTCAATTCCTATTACTTGTTTTCGTCTATTTTTGCAATAGTATTTCGTTATATATTCAAAATATTATTTCAAGTATTCTGCTCTTCTTTTCGACCGTTTCTTACGTCACTCTCGTATCCCTTTCTCTGCTAGCTCTTTTATAATCAAATTTACGCTACTAATTGACCTTTGGCTTTTCAATATCTATAAAGTATCTGGCCTATAGGTAGTAAAATACAAAACGGGAACAGTACGAATTAAAATACGTACGTGTTTTATTTGATAAATATTTTGCAAAATACAAATGAAAAGTTCGGCCACTCAATAATATTTATTTTAATTTTTTAATTTTTTAATATATATTATTTTTATTTAATAATATGTGAAAAAATATATGTATAATATGTGAATTTTATACGTATTATTGAAAATTTTATAAATATATGTGTATTAAACATGAAAAATACTATGTGTGTGTATAATATGTGTATTTTACATTTGAATTTTAAAAATATTTATTTTATCGAGTCTTTAAGATATGTACGAAAAACGAAAATATTTTTAAAAATACATACGTGCATATATGATTTGGTACATTTTCTCATATAGAATGATTGATACTAAAACCAAACTAGATAACAAACTTAATGAAACATTTTCTAGAGTGTGCTTTCTATCACTTTCTTCTGTTTTCTATCACTTTTATCCATTTATATTGATTCGTGGTCCTATGACTCATTCGTTCACCCTTTTGCGAAAAAAGAAGAAGATAAAAAACTCTTTTTGAAACCTTTTTCAGTGTAATATGTGGACAACCTTAGACCTAAATGTAGTGGAAAATGAATGTGGAGTTGCTTTTCAGGAAATAATAATGTAAGCCTTTGAAATGACGAGTGAACTCTCTGTCTCTTGTCTTCTGTCCTCCATATCTCATTCTATGACCTAATTTTATTGCGTTTATCTTAATGACTTCGATCAAATGGAACATTTTTGTTAATACACAATAGAGCTTTTTATCAAGTGGTCCCATGTTTGCAGATCATGAATATGTTTATTTATCTTGATGAGATGGGATGAGATGAGATTTCTTCCACATTAGGTCGGAAAGTAGAAGAAGATGCATGAAAACAAAAATGCATGACGACAACCTGAAGGAAATTGCTTAGTTTCCAAATTTTAACCACGTTTCATATTTTATGTCCACACACTAAAGTTGAGAGGGGATAAGAAAACGGTGCAAAAATATATGTATTCACATGGGTTCTTGCTTCTTTTTTGCATCTTTGTGCTATTTGGGATTTCATTGCAGTTCCAAATTCTATGCTTCAAAGGATCCAGAAGCTTGGGCAAGAAAGAAAGTAGTTTTGGGGCATATTCATATTCTAGCTGGCTAGATGCTTAGCTTAGCTGCTTACGCATATATACAAGGGAGAACAAAAACATGGAGGGAAATTAATAACCTCTCTCCATGAATATTGCAATCTTGGAAAAATTCACACCTTGTTTTCTTGATATGACAATGTTATGAATAATATGATTCTATGAGTGATTGTTTTTGTATGAGAGAGAGAGAGAGAATCAAATTTAGGGAGGCAAATTATCCAAAACAGGGGAGGAAGACCCTCCTTAATCACCTTATTCTATCGCATGAGGGTAAAGTAAACTACCCATAAGAGAGGGGAGAAAGAAAGCATTAGCTTTTGATGTTTTGATGACTTATATATATACATATACAAATACAATCATCAAAAAGCGAAGGTTTTGGACTTGGGAGAATCAACTACTTTCAAAGTCTTTTCAATGAGCTTTCTGGCCTTCTTGCTCCTTATTTCAACTCTCATGCTCTCACTCTTTTCAATCTTGTCATAAGGCTTCTTGTTCACCTTCAAAGACCTCAACTTGGATTTCAAATTCAACACCAACCTCTCCAATCCCAGCATCATCATTTCAACTCTACCAAACCTGCAGATTGAGCGATGAATAAGAAAACCAAAACCCAATTCTGGCTACAACCCACCAAAGGGAAATGAGATTTGAGACAGAAAATAACATATAACCTGTGTTTTTGGCAAAACAAAGTTTTAGATTGAAAGGTTGAGATTTGAGAGTGAAAAATACTTGAAGTCTAGCTAATATGAGAGAGAGAGAGAGAGAGAAAGAGAGAGAGAGAGAGCTAGAGAGAGATCATGGAGATGAAGTGAGTTTGGAAAGAACAAAGTGGGAGAGGTAATATGAATGAATCAAAACGGTTGGAGGAGTTGGAGCTCACAATGTAAGCGTTTATAGAACTTGGAAGGCTTACAACGCAATACTTATGAGCCTTATAGACCACCACCCCCTCTGACTTCTCTTTAATGCCCACTTTTTGGAGAAACACTTCCTCTCTACAGGTTTCTATATAATTTTATGTGTCTATCTTTCTCATCACGTGAAATTTAAGATTTTCTCCGTATTTGAGTGGTTTTTAAGTAGCTTGAGCTAGGATATGTGTTTTTAGAGTAAAATTTGGGCAGTAACTGGATTCAAGTTTTTTAGTGTTTATTACAAGAACGACTTGATTCTCTGTAATATCCAAGGGTCATTTTTCTCATATTTCTTTATTTTTTAGAAAGAAAAAAATAGGAGGAAGACAATCATAATTGTAGATTTTTGTTATTGTGTCCTTTTCAGTCTTGACAAGGGCGATTGCATTTCATCCAATGCGATACCATTTTCCTATTAAAGTTATCTGTATTTATCTATGAGCAATATCATATGTATGATAATTTTGAAGATGCCAGAAAACATAGAAGGGAAAATTTGTATCTTCCAAGAAATATATATATAAATTGGATTTGTTAGTCAGTTACTAATTAATAATATGCTCCATCAATTAACAATAATTGGTGACAAGATAAGGCCATAAAAGCAGCCATAATTTTATACATTTAATCACTTTGAAATCTATTAATTACTCAAATCCTTCCCTTTTCTCAGTCATTTTAATGGAAATGATGAAATTACCATAAATAAATAAAGAATGGAAAATCGAATTCATCTGAAACATCTTTTGTTGGCCAAAACAACACAAAATGGAGTGGTTTGCGTCCGTCCTTAAAGAATGAGAAACAAGCTGATTGCTCACTTAGCCAATGGATGGTGACAAAAAGTGTGAGGTGGAAGAATTTTCTTTAATTATTTGTTTAGTGAGAGAATGATACATACACATATGGAGCCTAGAAGTGGACATGCAGTGCCAAGTGAGCCTCAAATTTTGAGATAGCCGTGCAGCCACACACACTCACATGGATATTAGCCATGCATATATCTATCTATCCCCATCCAAATAAGCCACTTTCCTAGAATTGGAAAATCTCCCTTTGAAAAGCACTAGAGTTATGGAATGGTTGCATTGCATATATAAAACTAGGATTAGAGTTTTTCTTGCCTACACGGAAAATTTAATATCAAATGACAGATGTCATCGTATAGGTCATTGATCGGTTCATAATTGTATATCATTTTGTACCCTTCTAGCTTATGATTTGGTTATGTTTTTGAGTTAAACTTGTGCATTAGAGTTTTTCTTGCCTACACGGAAAATTTAATATCAAATGACAGATGTCATCGTATAGGTCATATGATAGTCAATAACTTCAATTATCTTGTGTTTCTTATGAAACTCAGTCATCAACCCTAACCCGCATATTGCAAGTTGAGTGAATCCTCATAAAATCTAGAACATTAATGTCACACAACCAGAGCTTTTTTTCGTGTACTTTATGCCTCTTGGATTTCATATTCTATATGGACACTTTTGTTTCATTCCAAGGACAACAAAAGTTCAAAATATCATGGTATATTAACCCTAACCCAGATATATTAACGTCGTTATAATGTGTTCGAATATGGTTTTAGAAAGAGAAAAGAGAGAGTTTTAGTTGTAACCGTTCGTATATAATCACGTTAGATATCACGTGATGATTGAGATAGGAATATAATTGTATACAATCGGTCAATAACCATTGTTTGTGCAAATTTCTCATTGGAGAATATTCGCAGATGATTCTTCTCTCTCGTTCATCTCTCCTTCTAGATTCCCTGCAATATAAAATAAATAAATCGGAAAATCACCGATGTGGTGGCTAAGGGCCCTCCGTCAGTAATAACATAGGGTATTTCTGAAATGTGCGGAGATGTTTCTCTACGAGAGAGATAGGGTTTAGGGTTTAGATTTTGGTCCTTCAACTAAATTATTCGTTCAAATGGTCCATCAACTCTATATTATTCGGTCCATTGGTCCTACCGTTACATTTTCTGTGAGTTTTAGTTAAGTCAACGCCAATGATGGGATAGAGGATGGGTATATACGTCTTTTTCGTACTTGAAAGGGGTATATGTGTCTTTTTCATACCTCAAAAGGCCATTACAGACCTAACATTCATAGCTAAATCTTCCTACTCATCACCACAATTACAAACAAATACCCATAAAAGGATCAAAGCAAACCCTAGTTTCAATTGTCTTTGTCTACTCCATTCCAATTCCCTTTTTCCTTCAAGAACAACACCCACTTTCTCTTCCAATTTTTTCTTATCTTCTTCTAATTTTTTCTTCTCTTCTTCCCACTAATCTCACTTGCTCTAATTTCTTCCTCCAATACCTCTAAGTCTTCTAAGCAATCCAGGAAGCACTTCCTTTCCTCTTGGGCATGTTTCATTATCCAGTCATTTAAAGAAATGATGTCTTGTTTGGCTATTCTGCAGATCATTTGTTACACACAATCAGAGCCCAGCACACCATTAAATTCTTCACTTAAACATAACAAAACCCTTACTCTATCTTACCCGATTTTGGTCACAAGCCTCAAACCTTCTTCCTGGGTTAATATTAGTCCATGAAGTGCGCCGTTTAATCTTCATCCCACAAAAGCAATACCAATTGGATCGAGTTAAATCCGTTGAACTTTGAGATATTGCATCCTTCATTGATTTTGTGTAGTTCTGCACTTAGGTTTCAATTTAGGGAACATAGGAAGAAGAAAGTGGATAAAAATGACGCCTTTGTCGTTTAAGAGCAGATTTGTGGACAGTTATGGACGGTTTTACCCTTACATTTGACGGCAATATTGATAGAATGTAATGGTAGGACCAATGGACCGAATAATATAAAGTTGATGGACCATTTGAACGAATAGTTTAGTTGAGGGGCCAAAATGTAAATCGGGTATAAGTTTGAGGATCATTTGAGTAAATAACCCTAAATATATTATTAAACCTGATTTATTAGTTTAGATAATATATTTCTAAGATTAACTTCTTTTCCAAGTAACGCCTTCTAATTAGACATCGGATTTATTTGCTCCCACAACCAATAATTTATGGGGGAGGAGCCTTCTTTTTGGCTCAATCAATTAGTTACCTACCTTTTTGTAGTCTCATCGCCATAGTTGATCAATAAGTTGTAGAGCAAGCGATATATAGAAATCCATCTTTGGCCTCTTGAAACTAAGTTGGGCTTGTGCGCAGTGGTTCTAGTGGGCTTAACTTGCTTCTAAATAACTTTTGAATTTAGGCCCAATCAAGAAGATAAAATATGTGACACCAATAAGTTTCAATATCTTGAAGCACATGTGATGTGCCATGCCTACAATCTAATGAAGTTTCAAGTTTACAATCATACAAGTTTTATTTTTTATTTTTTTGGGTTGGGGGGTGTCAAATACAAGAATGATATAGTTAGCTAAACATCCCAATCATTCTCAGTCAACATTCATGATGGCAGATATGTAACAACCACTTAAAATAAATTAAGGAAAAAAAGGGGAAGAGATTATATTAGAAGGATGTGTATGAATTATGATGATGATGAGCAAACAGAAACAAAGACTTAATAAATTAAAGAGGAGTACACACATCAATAATCTGAATCTGCAGAAGATGATATCACGGTGGTTATGATTAGAAGCCAACCTAATTTTTCAGCTTGAGCACACCAATAATGCCATACATATATATATCATAAATTAATTTATAGCTGGATTTATAAAAAAAAAATAAAAAAAAATAGAGGGCAGTGTCGCATTAAGTATATGATGGTAATGTAATATAGAAGGGTCGGATTAAGTATATGATGGTAATGTAATACCAACTGATGTAATGTGTAGGTGGTGACAAATTATAGGTGTCTTTTCTTGTATTTTTTTAAGCACTCAATCAACATATAATCTATAATTATTTTGCTTGAATTCAATTATTTTGCTTGAATTCAATGAATGAACACATATAATTTTTTATTAATTAAATGATGCTAAGTTTGATGCGAAGTAATTTCCCATGCATAATTAGCAAACTTTTCAATAAACCACTCATCGGTCTCACTTGGAACTAATAATTAACTTGTATATCCCACTAAATTACAACTAAATCCTTCACTCGATTCTCAAAGATGTGAAACGTTCTAGGGTCATATACTCCAAATGAAAGGGGTAGCTATAGTGGATAATGGAAGAGATCTGGTTAGAGAGGTAGCATCATCATCATGCACATTGCAACACAACCACAAAACCATATAATATAATATAATTATATTTAATAATCACTAACCACCCTCCCTCCTTGTGATCTTTGAAACTTTCCACTGTTCCACACCCATATGTTTCAGCCTAGCTACCTATCTAACTCTCTTATTATTTCCCATTGCCCTTAGAAAATCAAAACTCTCTCTCTCTCTCTCTCTCTCTCTCTCTCTCTGAATGAAGCACCAAGAAATTGAGCTTCCCTTTGGGAAAATATGCCAAGGACCACAAAAGGCACCCAAAAAAGTGGTGCTTCTAGTCTTCGCCCTACTTCTTCTCACAATCATCCCTCTCTATTACCCTTCAATAAGCCACTCCTTATTTGTGTCTGAAACTGTTAATTCAAACCCACTTGTGCCCTCTTTATCATCATCATCACATGATCATTTAAATGATCATGTTCGTGAGGAGGAGGATTTTCCATCCATAACTAGCAATTTAAAGTGTGACATATTTACTGGAGAATGGGTTCCAAATCCAGAGGCTCCCTATTACACAAACAAAACATGTTGGGCAATCCACGAACATCAAAACTGCATGAAGTATGGAAGACCAGACACGGAGTTCATGAAATGGAGGTGGAAGCCAGATGGGTGTGAGCTTCCTATTTTTAACCCGGCCCAGTTCCTAGAATTGCTTAGAGGTAAGTCCTTGGCCTTTGTTGGAGACTCTGTGGGCAGAAATCAAATGCAGTCCTTGATCTGCCTCCTTTCTAGGGTACGTATTATCCTCTGCCATCTATTTTTTCCTAGTTATTATTTAATGTCACGATAATGTTAACCAACAAAAATCTTGCATGTTATGATGACTTGTTTTCATTTGGACCCTCTACTTATAATTTTGTTCTTTTTAAAAAAAAATATTATAAAAAGCGAT